GATCTCTTGACCTCGTGATCCACCCGCCTCGGCCTCCCAAAGTGCTGGGATTATAGGCGTGAGCCACCGCGCCCGGCCTATCCCAACATTTTGAGAAGCTGAAGCTGGAGGATCGCTTGAGGCCAGGAGTTTGTGACTAGCCTGGCAACATAGCAAGACCCCATCTCTAGAAAAAGAAAAATCGCTGGTAGTAGTGGCAGGCCCCTTTAGTCACAGCTACTCAGGAGGCTGGGGTGGGAGGATTGCTTGGGCCCAGGAAGTTGAGGTTGCAGTGAGCCAAGATCATACCACTGCACTCCAGACTGGATGACAGAGTAAGACTCTGTCAAAAAAAAAAAAAAGAAGGGGAGGAGAGGGGATCACAGACTTGGTGGCTTAAAACCTCAGGATGGTATTCTTTCACAATTAGGAGGCCAGAAGTATGAAAACAAGATGTGGGTAGGGTTGGCTCCTTCTGGAGGCCCTGAGGGAGAATGTTTCATCCTCCTCTCCCAGTCTCCAGTGGTAGCTAACAATCCTTGGAGCTTCTGGCTGGATGCATCCTTCCAATCATAGGGCCTTCTTTATGTGTGTCTCTCTGGGTCCAAATTTCCCTCTTCTGAAAAGGACATCAGGCGGGGCATGGTGGTTCATGTCTGTAATCCCAGCACTTTGGGAGGCCAAGGCGGGCAGATCACCTGAGGTCAGCAGTTTTAGACAAACCTGGCCAACATGGTGAACCCCTGTCTCTACTAAAAATACAAAAATTAGCCAGGAGTGGTGGCAGGTGCCTGTAGTCCCAGCTACTCGGAGGCTGAGGCATGAGAATTGTTTAAACTCCGGAGGCAGAGGTTGCAGTAAGCCAAGATTGCACCACTGCACTGCAGCCTGGGGTACAATAGTGAAACTCCTCAAAAAAAAAAAAAAAAAAAAAGGATGTCAGTCAGTCATTAGCTTAGGGTCCACCCTAATCCAGTATGACATCTTAACCACCTCTATCTGCAAAGACATTACATCCAAATCAGGTAATATTCACAGGGACCCGGGATTAGGACTTGAGTATATCTTTTTGGGTGGCACAGTTTAACACACGACCCTCTCTAAACAAATCCTGTGAACAACCCCCTCACCCCAGAGGCTAAGCATTGGCATTTCAAGTAGGACTTCTTTTAGCAAGGTGCAGGAATATGGGACCACCAAGCAGCTGGGCAGTGTCCACCCTGAAAAGGCTGGCACTGGCCAGTTCTGCTAAGCTGCTCCTCCTCTACCCCAGATTGAGCAGAACCGCAAGAGGGAGGCTGAGCTGCTAAAGCTGCGGCGGGAGCTGGAAGAGGCTGCCCTGCAGAGCGAGGCAACAGCCTCCACGCTGCGCAAGAAGCACATGGACTCGATGGCCGAGTTAACGGAGCATGTGGAGAACCTGCAGAGGGTCAAGTCCAAGCTGGAGAAGGATAAACAGGTCATGAAGGCTGAGATCGATGACCTCAACGCCAGCGTGGAGACCATGCAGAAGTCCAAGGTGAATAACATAAATGTGTGCTGGGCACAGTGGCTCACTCCTGTAATTCCAGCACTTTGGGAGACTGAGGCAGGAGGATCGCTCTTGCGAGGCCAGGAGTTGGTGACCAGCCTGGACATCAAAGCCAGACCTCATCTCTACAAAAAATAAAATTAGCCAGGCATGGTAGCATGAGCCTGTAGCCCTCAGGAAGCTGAGGCAGGAGGATTGCTTGAGCCCAAAATGTTGAGACTGTAGTGAGTATGACTGCATCACTGCACTCCAGCCTGGGCAATAGAGTGAGACCCTGTCTCTAAAATAAAATAACCTGCCAGTGACGGTAGCTCACAGCCAGGCACCATGGCTTACAAAAATTAGCCAGGCATGGTGGTGCACACCTGTAGTCCCAGCTACTCAGGAGGCTGAGGCAAGAGAATCGCTTGAACCTGGGAGGTGGAGGATACAGTGAGCCAAGATCACTCCACTGCACTCCAGCCTGGGCAACAGAGCAAGACTCCATCTCAAAAAATAATAATAATAATAACCTAACTCTGCTTCAGTTTCTTCATCTGTAACATGAAGATGATTGTAATAATCCCCACCTTAGAGTGCTACTGTGAAGGCTGCAATAGTCCCTGGCACATAAGAAATGGTCAGTAGCCGGGCGCGGTGGCTCAAGCCTGTAATCCCAGCACTTTGGGAGGCCGAGGCGGGTGGATCACAAGGTCAAGAGATCGAGACCATCCTGGTCAACATGGTGAAACCCCGTCTCT